AAGTTCAGGATTGTATAAAATGAAAAGACCTATAAAGCTGCCAGAAATAGCAATAATTCTGAGGATTGGGAAATTTTGTAGAATACAATAAATAAAGATCAAAAAACCTGAAAGAGAAAGGAGAATGGAATATAAATGGAATCTAGCAAAACACAAAACATACAGAAATTTCTAATGGTATGTAAAAAAGGAATGTTTAGCAAAAATGAATGTTATCCATTACAGGCAGAGTCAATGGTATTTATAACGTGCAGCAGAGAAATGGCAGAGAAACTAAATGATTTCTTTGCACCTGGCTTCACTGAGGAACAGACCAGAAATCTCCCAGAACTAGAGATCCAAGCAGTTACGGAGAATGAGGAGTTGAAGATTGTACTGGAGAATTATTGGGCTGAAAGCTGATAAATCTCCAAGACTTGATGGTCTACATTCCTGGGTGTTGAAAGAGGTGGCTATTGAGATAGTTGATGCATTATTGATTATTTTCAATAATTACATAGGTCCTAGAATGATTCCTGTCATTTGAAAGGTAGCAAATGTCGCCTACTGTTTGCAGAGTGAGAAAACAACTACAGATCTGTTAGCTTTACATCTGCAGTGTGTAAAATGCCAAAATTTATAATACAGAATGGGATAAATAGACACCTCATTGATAATCTGATTGGGTATATTCAGCATGGATTTGAAAATGAAAAATAATATTTCATGAATGAGTTTTTTTTGATGTTACTATCACTATTGATAAGAGAGCTGATGGACATCGTACACTCACATTTTCAGAAGGTTTTTCACAAAATCCCCCAGAAGAAGTTGGTTAGAAAAATTAAAACACATGGAGTAGGGGGTAACATACTAGCATGAATTAAGGATTGGCCAACAGACTGCAAACAGTAGGAATAAATGTGCCTTTCCAGCACTGATCTGTTTTATTTTAATCACGTGTATCTAAGTACAGTGCAAAGCTTTCTTTTGCAAGCAGTGCAGATAGATCATAGCAAACAAGAACATACAGATCATAGGGCGCTTAGACGGAGCAAGACAGGTCACAACTGCACATGAAGTGCACATAGAAAGATCAACATTATTGGAAGTTAGAGAGTCCATCCATCAGTCTAACAATGGCAGGGAAGAAGCTGTTCTTGAATCTGTTAGTGCGTGTTCAAGCTTCTGCCTTATGGAAGAGGTTATGAGAGAGCATTAGCAGGGTGGGAGGGGTGTTTGATGTTGGCAGCCTTTCCGCAAGAAGTGTAAATGGAGTCCATGAAAGGGAGGTTGGCTTCCGTGATGGTCTGGGCTGTGCACACAACCTTCTATAGTTTCTTACGGTCCTGGGCAGAGCAGATGCTATACCAGGCTGTTATGCACTTGGATAGTATACTTTTAATGGTGCATCGGTAAAAGTTGATAAGGAACCTTATGGACGTGCTGAACTTCCTAAGCTGCCTGAGGAAGAAGAGGCAATTTTGTGCCTTCTTGACTGTCACATCTATGTGGGAAGTCCAGGACGTGTTGTTGGTTATCGTCACACCTAAGAGCTTGAAGCTCTCAACCTCCACTCCATTTATGTAGATAGGGGTGTGACTCCTTCCTTTCTGAAGTCAATGATCAATTCTTTTGTTTCGCTGACCATCTAGAGACAGGTTATTACCAATGCACCACGACAACAAGCCTTTCTGCATTCTGACTCATTATTGTTTGATATACATCCTGCCACGGTGGTGTCATCAGCACCTGTAGATGGGGGCAGACTATGACTATTAGGCTACTGCAAGTATCCGTATTTGGGCTGTTTCTGTCTACAATGTACATCAAAGATTAGGAGTTAAGACCAAATGTAATACTGCCAAATTTGTGGATGATACAAACCTAAGTGGGAATGTGTAATGCAATGAAGATATAAAATGGCTTCAGGTTGGAGTATAATTTTTTTTTTGAAGTGACATTATCCACTTTGGTAGGAGAAACAGATGTGGAGAGTATTTTTTAAATGGTAAGAAGTTGGAAAAGTAAAAGTACAGAGGGATCTAGGTGTCCTTGACAATAAGTCACTGAAGATTAAAATGCAGGTCCAGGAAGCTATTAGGGAGGCTCCTGGAATGTTAGCTTTTATTGCAAGGTGATTTGAGTCCAAGAGTCTTGCTTCAATTGTGTAGAAGCTTGGTGAGACTGCACGTGAGTTACTGTGGAGATTTGGTCTGTTTACCACAGGAAAGATATTATTGCCTTAGAATTAGTATAATGAACGTTCACTAGACTTGCTCCCTAGATAGCAGGTCTGCCCACTGAAAAGAGATCAGGCAATCTGGACCTGTGTTCTCTGGTGTTATGAAGAATGAGATGATCGTATTGAAACATACCTGCATCTTCACAGTTTATACCTTTAAGCATTTTGTAAAATGTTTCCCCTGGTTGGTGAGTCTAGAACCAGGATGTACAATTTTAAAAATAAGGAGGAGGGTGCCACTTAGGTGTGAGCAGAACTTTTTCCTCAGAAGTTTGCGAATCTTTGGTATTCTCCATCACAGAGGGTTGTGAAGACTCCCGTCTTTGAGGATGTTTAAGGTAGAGATTGATAGATGTCTGGTTACCAGTGGTGACTTTGGCAGTCTAGTTTTTTGGTTATTCTTGGTTCTGCACTTAGCTGAAGGGAATTTGTCCAGCTTCTTGTTTTCAGCAAGAGTATATTTTGTTTTAGCTGTAAGATAAAGGGATGTCTCGTGACAATTTTCAGCTGAGTCCCTTCACGCACTTTAGCAGAGTAGAAGTCAAAACTCAGTATAGCACATTAGCACACTAGTTGTCTAGTATATGGAAACCAGAGTTACAGTTGGTTTTTAAACTCCTCTCTTATGTTTTACCCTTCCAGGAATGCACAAGTATGCCTTTTGCCCAGACCTGTCTTTCTTTCAACTTACCTTTGTTTGCAATCTATGATGTTAACCTACAGAACATGGCTTTCTGTTAAGAATATCAGTCCTGTAGCCATAAGAGATCACTGTTAATTTTTTGAAGGCTCCATTTGCTGATGCCAGTGCATGTGTGCTATGCACCACCTATTAATCACGCAGGCAAATTGTTCTGGGGGATGCAGCCCACTGCTTGGGAAATGAGGAGAGAGAGAACGCCACCCAAGTGGCGACACGGTACACAGTAGTTAGCACTGCTGCCTCACAACACCAGGGACCCCGGTTCGATTCCAGCCTCGGCCAACTGTGTGTGCAGTTTGCACATTCTCCCCACGTCTGCGTGGGTTTCCTCCCACAGTCCAAAGATGTGCAGGCTAGGTGGATTGGCCATGCTAAATTGGCCATAGTGTTCAGGGATGTGTAGATTAGGTGGGTTATAGGGGGAATGAGTCTGGGTGAGATGCTCTGAGGGTTGGGTTAGGCCAAAGGGCCTGTCTATGGCAGGGTGTGTGAATGTGAGAGAGAGAGAGGAAAAAGGGAGAGGGTCTCCTGGGGCCAGTTCTCTCTACTCTACCCGACAGCCCGTGTTCTCTCCCCTCACCCAGCCTGGTCTGTTTTCTTCCCCTCCATCAGTCCCCGTTCATTCCCTCCTCTCCACAGGCCCTGCCCCATTCCTGCTTCAACCTTGTCCCTGTTCTGTGCACATGCACACAATGGACCTTGTGCATGATGCAACAATATCGAGGGTCTGAAACCATGTGCACACGTGTTTGAATGAGCACGTATGCGCAGTTGCTCTGCAGTTACATTGCCAGTACACACTGCCTTTTTTGAATGTTACCTCTTCCTTTGAAGTGTCATGTCTAAGGTTCCTTTGACATTAATCACACAGAATTTTCCAGACAACCACTGAATTTACTTTGTTAGCTATCTTTTGGCTTGCATTTTCTTCTTATAGGGAAAAAATATATTTTAAAGCTCATGGTTATGATGCATTACCAGGGTGCAATGTCTCTTTTAAAAGGCCCTACATTTCAATTTCTTGAGTATCATTGAACTGATTTCCAGCAGCAAGGCACGTTCTGGGCAACTCCTTTCTCTTTAAATCTCTACAAGTATCATCTTTTCAAGGTAGGCAATCTGTTCTCTCCAGCATTCTGTTTGGTGGTTAACACAAAATCCTATTTTCTATGCTCGGCACAGCAGCAGGTGTTTTTAATCTTCCTCTCCACATCTATCTGTCTGGTCTGAGTTTGAGAATTTGTGTCCAGAAAGATGAACTCCCCTTCTTTCCTGTTAAGATGTGAAACCTGGCATTGAATTTCTGTTGGTTTCAACTTGGAAAAGTTTTAAACATCATTTTAAATAGCATTACATTTGGAACAATAGTTCACGTACATTGGCAAATTCAGAATCTGTTTATTTCTCAGGAAGAGACTTCTTCCTTTAGCTGTAATATTGCCATCCTCTTTTGTAATGTGCCTAGTGACTTTCAGTTCACTATTTTACCCTGGCTTAATGAACTATGCAGGTGAGCTGGTTCTGCAGTGTGTTTTAAAAATTTGTTGTGTACAGGTGTTTGGAGTTACCAAAAGTTGTAATGTATTTTACAAATCAATGCTTCATAATTAAACAAGTAACAATTGTGTTTTTTTTTTGCACAACTGCTTCAAAAAGGTACCCAAGAATACAAATTTAAATAAAAGAACCTAGAATCTCATAGAGCACCTTTCTCCGCATTCTAAATGAGGATTGATAAGAAAGGAAATATAGGCATACAAAGAACTAAATCCTTCAAAAAGTAAGTGCCTTTTATGTGGTATTCCAAAATGCTTCACAATCAAATAATCGCTTTGAAAAAAAAAGTGTACCCACTATTAGTCTTGACAGACATGAAAAATGACCAATTAATCAAATTCTTGATAGATTAATGCTCAGAATTTGACCAGGGAACCTCCCCCTGTCCTTGTGTTACAGCAATGCAAGCCTTTAAAATCACATCCAACATGCACCATTTCTAGCAGCATACATCCACTTCGAGAAGTCAGACCGGATTATACATGCATAAAGGGAGTCAATCGTCACATGTATAAGTCTTGTCCTTGTCTTCACATGATGCTACCTTGTCTGCCTCTTTCCAGCAGAAGCTGCACTCTTGATTCAGAGACAGAAGGTCATGGGATTCAAACTCCATTCCACAGACTTCAGCACCCAATCCAGACAAACATTTCAGTATGATCCTGAGGAGAGTGATACACAGGGAGTGATACAATGTGAAGGCATTAATCTTGTCCATCCTCTTAATGGGGTGGGATGGGCAGGGGAAGGAACATAAGATACCATGTCACTATTTGAAAACAAATGAGCAGTGAAGTACCCCCTTCATCCTCCCAAATATTCATCCCTGAACCAACACCTAAAACAGATTATAGTCATATCATTCGCTGTTTGTGGGACCCACTGTGCAAACTGGCTGTCACATTGGTCTATGTTAGTGACTACACTTTATAGACAATCAAGTAAAGGATATTCAGACCTTCTGAGGCAATGAAAGACAACATATAAATTTAAGCTCCTCCTGTTCTACTACTGGGTTAGATCTTATGAGAGAGTTGAACATGATAAAAAGAAAAGTGCAAAAGATCAGTTGGTTTGATGACTACTCATTGCTATGCTTATCATTTCTGATGCTCAGTTAATGAACGTCAACAGCCTCCAAGGGACTACTCTCTTGACAATATTTCTGTTCCAAGATGTAGCACAACTGAATAAGCCAACACTTCCAAAGTTTTTCCAGATTTAATGTTTTATTACAAAGCTTGTGACATATATTTACCTAATCTGTGAAGTTGGACAGAGTTTCTCTGAACTTAGCTGAGTGCCAGGATGCAGCAAGTCTGATGTTTCAGTTCTGCAGAATTGAAGGATTAACCACATACCTTAGAGCATGCTTGCAGTCTGGTCAAAGAATGACAGGCTATCATATAGCTAATACTATGCCTAGTGCATGTAATTTTTCTCTACATAATCACGTTTTCTTTCTTAAGAGTTCCAGTATTTTACCAATCATCGTTTTTCAACACCTGTTTGAAGCATTACAATTCTAACACCTGTCCTACTTCAATATCCAAAAGCTAATTTTCACATCGTTGTGGTCCATATTTATCACAAAGCATTCTGGTGCTGAAATTCCACAGGGGGTCTTTGTTCCCAGTGCAGTGGTGCTGGTCAGAGTTCTACAGAAGCGCCTGAGGAAACAGCATGAAAAAAGTTTAAAAACTCATTTACACACTCCTGAATTTAAACTCTGTTCTTTGACTGCGTAAGTAATCAATTTCATCTTTTTTAATTCTCATATTACTCACTCAAATCCAATTTGGCATGTTCTTTCTTTGTAGGCTCCCGAAATGTCAGCTTTCCTGCTCCTCTGATGCTGCTTGGCCTGCTGTGTTCATCCAGCTCTACACCTTGTTATCTCTCTTTCTTTGCGATTGTTTGGAAAATAAATACTACAAATCAGCAGTCTCGTGCAATGTCATTTGTATCTGCAATAAGTGCTGCTATCATTACTGCACCTTCAAATTGGTTTTCATTTTTTTTCTCCTATTGGGCTTGACCCCAGCTACATTTGCCAGTTGTAATAATTAATGTAGAATGTGTTGAAATGTTTGGTCGATTTTGTTTTCCCTCCCAAATCACATTCCTCCTGACATTTATCAGTAATAAAAAGACTATCAACTTTGCTGTTGCTTGATATTTTCTTGCAAAGATTTTTAAAAGGCCCTGCCATTCTCATTAATTGATATCCTACCAAGATATAAAATTAATTTTTCATGCTTCACTCAGCCAAATGGTTTCTCAAAGTATGAAACTGCTCTTTTTGCTTGTTTCCTGTTCACAATCCATTTTCAAATCAAATATTCTTTTGTACTCCCGTCCTTTCATGGCTCCCTTTACTTCTGTAACAAACATATCTGTTTAACTCCATGCTTATTCCTTTAGTCTATTCTCAGTATGATAATGTAACTTATGAGCCTTTTTATAATTTGCTGTCCTCCACCAAATGTACTCTTCAATGTTTTGGCCATTTCCCCGAACAGAATGTTGAGCTCTTCCATTAGGAGGACGACCTTTCCAGAAAATGGTTATAGAAGGAGGCCATTCAGCCTGATGTATCCTTGCCAGCTCTCTGCAAGAGAATTTAATCTAGTCTTTTCACCATTTACATGTAAATTATGTCTTCAGATAAATGATCCAATCCCCTTGTGAAGCTTCGACTGAACGCACCTCAATCATTGTATTCCAGATCTGACCCCCTGATTGCATACAATTTCTCCCCACCTCCCCCCAATGCTGCTGTTAATTTTTAGCAATCACTTTCATTGGTCTCCTCTGGCCTTGAATTTTGCAAATACAACAGTTCCTCTTCATCGTCCAGAGCCAGAGTCCTGATTTGAACAAGTCTGATTAAATTTCTACATAGTTCACATTATTTCATGCATTTTATCGTTTAAATTTGCAGTCATGTCAAGAGCTCCATATAATATCTTGATTCTCAGGTGTAGCAATATGGGACATAATGAAGCAAGTGAGAAAACCACTGGAAAAGATAGATTAACAGAAAAATACTGTTCTTATTGAAGCCTGAAAAAAAGGATTTTCATCTAAGTCAGTTTCAACTGCAATATCTTAGACAATCTCAGGATTACTAACAAAGCCATTTAAATGCAAGGCTTGAGGGATGATGTAAATATGGAGGAAGAGTTCAGACACTTTGGAAAATTGCTTAGATAGGATGGCCTTGCCTTAAATTCATTAGCAAATAATTTCTTTACTGAGAGCAAATATAGAATTGGAGTGGATTTCAATTACTACATCACTGAAGCAACCAGTTAAGTAATGTCATAGACAAGGATACAGGAACAATAGAAAAGGAGGGAATGATGGAACGTAAGACAAGCAGCAATGTGATAGCTTTTCTAGCAAAAGAGAGTTGCCTTTACATCATTGCCACTGACTCCACAGAAATGTTCATTTTAAATTTAATACTAAAATAATCTTCTGACCTTGAGAAGCTTAAACAGTCTTCCCTGTAAAAGTGTTACTCAAGTCAAAATTATGACCTGACATCTATACTCTTTCTGTTACATTTACACCATTTAACTTTGCTTTCCAAAGTTTGGGCATTTTTTCAGACCCCCTCTAGTTGGGCACACACTCCACCACCTGGGGAACACCTCTTGAAGTTTTCCACTGAAGTTTTGCAAAATAACATCCAGGCAAGTCAAACTAAACAAAGGATGTTAAGATTACTAAGAATAAAAATCAATATGAAAGACATCATACATGTTTAATGACATAACGGGGTCCTCAATTTCATGCTGATCAATAAGTGGCAACTATTCCATATGCATTTAATTATATGTTCAGTCCCATAAGCTGACCTATAGCATTTCATCATTCTTCAAAATCATAATGTTCTCCGTACTCAGTTCAGCCAACTGTTGAATATTTATGTAAAAGATCTTTTGGGTTATCAATACCACTTTTTGGGGAGTAGCTTTTTTTTAGAAAAATGCTCTTCTCCACATTTTCCTACCTGCCTGTTTCCATTTACTGATTTTTCCACACACATCTCACCAGCTTCAATGCTCTTTTTCTCTCCACCCACACCCACCCACCCACTCTTGTTTTCCTTAGTTGCTATAAAGGCAGAACATTCTAGAAATCCTCTAGATGCTGTCAGGACTGGGAGAAAAATAGGGTTAAAGTCTGATGTAGGGTCACTGCCCTGAAATCTTTAGGTATTGTTCTCTTTCCCCACAGCTACTGCCAGAACTGCCGAGTACTTTTTGCACTCTACTTTTAATTAAGGTTTCCACCACCTGCAGTTCTTTGCTTATATTTAAAGTTATGCTTAGCCACTTGGAGTTGAATTGTTTTTCATCTTCTATTGCTGTCTCTCATACAGTTAAAACCAAAATGCTTTCTCTGCTTCAAAGAAGTTTTAAAGTTTGTTGCGACATTCGTTACTACATTCTTCTGCTTTTGTTTCTGTGTCGCTAGTTTAGTGGTTATTCACTTCCATATCATACCTTACTGGGTGTTTATAAAGCCCTTGTGCAACTTTAGGCCCGAAACGTCAGCCTTTCTGCTCCTATGATGCTGCTTGGCCTGCTGTGTTCATCCAGCTCTGCACCTTGTTGTCTCGGATTCTCCAGCATCTGCAGTTCCTACTATCTTTCAAATGTCAAACTTTGGATGTACATATTATATAGAGACAAACTGCAAACATGAAAACTAATTCATAAAGTCTCAACACTACCCAGGTCAAATTTCATGACTTCAACATAACCACCAGATTTTACACTTATTATTCACATTTTCCACTTCATTGAAACAATTCTTAAGTTGCTGCTAATTGATTTCATGACTTGCATTTCTGATCTTGGACTGAAGTTCATCTAAAGAACGTGGTTTTGATAAGAGTTTCAAAATGCCCCATAAGAATTGTCATATGGGCCAGATCAAGAACACAGGGTATGCATCTACATAATTCAGTAGTCTGGCAAAATGCCATTCAAAAACTACTGCGTGTTTGAAATTGGGCCCAGGGAGCACAATTGGCTAGAATAAAATGCCATCTGAAATATTTAAGTTGTCACAGTTCAGAGGCAAAGTAAAATGTACTGAGGCCAGTATCCTGTCACCAAGTAACCCTTTATTTACACGTGCACAGTACACTCACTGTGACCAGCCAGCTTGGAGTCAGTGAGGAGACTCTGAATCCCCTGTTTATATCTGTCAGCCAGAGGTCCCTGATTGGACCATGTTAACAATCGCCAATCAAGGTTCTCCGTCAATAAGATCCACTTGGTTCCAAACACTACACAATGCAATTCTGCAATATTACAAAAATAATGTTCACAATTGATGATTCAAGGCCTCCCCAACCTTTTTTCATCATTTACTGAACCAATTTCCTAAAAAACCTATTCATCCAATCATTGAGTTACTGCGTAGTGTCATTTTCCTATGATGAACAGCAGACTCCCTTCTCGGCTGTTATGGACTTCAATCCTGCTAACCATAAACACACAGCTGACTTTTTCTTTGACAGTTATCATTTTCGAACAGTATTCACATCTGAAATAAAAAGAACATTGGCACTATTAAAAATCTGAAGTAAAATTTCCCAGCCATTAAATTTTACATGTGTACAAAGTTTAAGTTACACAAGAACTTTATAAGGACATGCCTTATTTCTTTACATTTCATTTAATACAAAATAATAAGAATAAGAGATTGACAATCTTCAAAGTTTTGGTCTCGTTGGCAATCCTGAACCTGGTTATCAATTCAAGAATTCAGGTATAGTGTTTGTACTTCTGTTTTCAATGTGACAAAACTGGTGACTGAATAAATTGATCTGTTACCCACCATGCTGTCATTAACATTTCAGAAATAGTATGAATGTTGAAACAGCCAAAAATCGCTTCACTGGAACGCTTCAGTTCCATAAAAGTAGAAACAACAAACATATGTGGCTCCTACTTCATCAGGGAAAAGACTGACCAGAGAACTAGGTCAGCAAATGAAGATGTAGAGTGTGCAGTCACATGCAGTGGTAGCATCAAACAGCATTAATGCAGTTAAGGGGAAAGCTAGGGAAATATATGAAAATAAGTATGTATTAATAGAATGAGTGACGAACTAAGTTGAAAGAAGGCCCACGAGGAGCTGCCTGGTTTGTTTCTGTTATAAAGACTACTTTTTCTTTGGACTGAACTAAAAGTGGAAAAATAAACCGTTTTAAAACAAAGAAAACTGAGTAAGAAGACGCTTTCAGTTTTAAAAACAGGTCACTCAGGTATTGTGTGTACCATATTACCTTATAGGGTAAGAGACAGGGAGAACTCCAGATAAATTGGCACTAGCAATGTGTCCAGGGCAGTTCTGCCCACAGACAGTCTTTTGATTGAAAAGCCAATCAGCATCAGGTTTGTATGCTTAGGAGGACTCAGTGTAATGACAACTTTCTGATTAGTAACCTACTCAGTAACCAGCATAAAAATGCCTAGCTTGCAAACAGAAAGCATCCTTTTTTTTAAAAACTTTCCCACTTGCATGTTTGAAGAAAATTGCTTGTGGCTAGCTCCTTTACCCTTCCTCTGAACTGGTCTTTTTGCAAATCCCCTGTTGAAAGGGGAAAAAGGGAAAGTACCTTTAGAGATATGAAAAGGGCAAATTCTCCACCAGTGAATAGAAGACTGAGAATTGTTGATGACCCAAGGTTGTGGATACAGCAAAGAATCAAACGAAAACAACTCGTCAATATCCGTAATCTAGATTGGTGCCAGAACTCTGCTAATTTGACTATCTTCCTCCCTCACGTTTGTGTCTTGTTTGGTCTGTCTGTTTGCAGTTGAATGAAACTTTTTATTAAAAAGGGGTAGATTTTAAGTTGGAGTTATAAATTAGTTTTTTTCTCAGTTGGTTGATTACTACAAGTTGTTACTTTCTTGTTAATGGAGACAAAACTGAATTTGACATTAGAATTGGGAACTTCTGTCAGTGGTTTAATCAAATGTTCACATTTGCAATGACCAAAGGAATAGTGGAGCTTGATTTCTTATGCACTACCTCAGTGAGTTGTGATGCTGTCATCACACCTCACTGGGGTAGTATGTTGGAAATCAAGCCTTGCTACACCCAGCATCATCAAAAGTTAACAAGGTGCAGGGCTGGATGAACACAGCAGGCCAAGCAGCATCATAGGAGCAGAGAGGCTGACGTTTCGGGCCTAGACCCTTCATCAGAAAAGGGGGAGGGGAAGGGGGTTCTGAAATAAATAGGGAGAGAGTGGGAGGCAGATAGAAGTTACTTTATTTCTAAAATCTATGCATGCAGAGTCCCCAGTTTACCTATCTGAGACTCAGGTTGACAGAAAAACATGGACCAGGTTTCTATACTTAACAAGAACAACTCTTATTACAAATAAGTTATTTACCTATTGTTAGAATCCATGAAATGTTGATATATCATCTACTAGTTAAAACTCAAACCCTCTTTCCAAAATTTCCCCCTGAACACATACAAAAAGATTGTGTTATGGGTAGAGGGGAAAATAAATACTGGTGAATCAGTTCAATAGCACAAATCTTCAGGATTTGATGGAGCGTTCTTTTTGTTTCTCCAAGTCCTCTCATTTCTTCACAGGAGGCACAAAACAACGGGGTCACAAATTAGAGACTGACTTATTGGTTAAAAGCAACAGCAACTGCTGTGAGGAGACAATGGCCTAATGGTATTGTCACTGGACTGTTAACCCCAGAGACCCAGATAATGTCCTGGGGAACCCAGGTTCGAATCCTACCATAGTAGATGGTGGAATTTGAATTCAATACAAATCTGGAATTAAAAATCTAATGATGATCATGTCAATTGTCAGGGGAGAAACCCATCTGGTTCACTAATACCCTTAGGGAAGGAAACTGACATCCTCTCTTACCTGGTCTGGCCTATGTGTGACTCCAGACCCACAGTAAGGTGGCTGACTATGAACCATTAAGGATGGGCAATAAATGCAGCCTAAAACTGGCTCTCTTTAGTCTCAGGTATCCTCACTGGAGAGGGCCACCACTCATCTTAAGAAGGTTCAAGGCTTCTTTTATCATTCAAAACTGGTCACAATTCCACAAACCAAATCAGTAACCTGTCACGGCTGAATTTCACTTTGTGTTCACACTCCCCTGGTGCCAGCCTATCTACAGGCAGCTCTCCCAATGTGTGGCTTAAACACCACAGTTAGAGTAAATTGTTTTTTTTTTGAAAAAGTGCAGCAATTCCTTCCACAATCCTTGGTTTTAAAGCAGTCCTTCTCCCAATTCAGCCCACAAAGAAACTAAAAAGATGTGGTCTTTAGACTGCATTGTAAATTTTATGTAGGTGCCAACTGAATTAAGGTTGATTACAGCTATCTTGTCTGAGGCACAAGGTCATGGGTTCTTAGCGCTACTGCAAAGGGTTGAGCACATAATCTTGAACTGCTACACAGTTTTATAGCTGGTAAGCTTGGATGATTTGTTAATTAACATCCAGTCTGCCATCTCAGGCTGCAAGAAATCTCATAGCATCAATTTGAAGACCAAGGGTGTTCTGAACAAAATGTAAACCACACAGTCAGAAAATTATTTGATCAGGTACTTTATTGGTGGTTTTGGTACCCTGGTGTACAAACTGGCTGCTCTGCCTGCTTTGGCCATCAACAGTAGCTTTTTAACAAAGTAGGCCTTTGAAGGACTGGAGCATCTGCAGGAATGGGAAATAAGCTATATAGATGTAAATTCTCTGTAATAGCTAACTTTTCAGAAAGCCAAGCCTGTAATTGAAAACATGAAAGAATTTGCATTTACGTAGTGAAGCTGTGAAAGACCATAAGCCAAAGACTGAACCAATTTCCAAACAGGAAGATCCAAAAAATTAGACTAATGACTCCAGGATATTTTTGTCAGTCATGTTGATTCAAGAATAAATGTTGGCCAACAAACTGGGAAGAATTTTCTTGCTCATTAAGTAGTGCCAAGGATCCTTCATATTCAGCAAGAGGGAACAGGCCCAGTTTAGCATTGATACATTGGCAAATCCATGCCTATTAACCCGTCAAAATTGCAAGTCTATCCATTCATCCATCAAGGAAAGTCATGATTAACTGTGAAAAGAAACCATTAACTATGGCGTTTAAGATAACCAGAAACTCAATGTGGACAATCTGTATATAGCTACGCAAAATATGCAAGCCGGCAAAGAGACAAAAAAAATCACTTGATAGGTAGATCCTGTTCAAGTTTGTCGGCAGTTTTGACTTACTTGTCTTGAAGTGTGCTTTTAAGTTTTAACAGGTCACGTCGTCATATCCTTATCTGGTGACCAAAAAAAAACAGGCTTACCTGTATCTTAAAATCAAGCTGTAAACTGCAATGTAGGAGCATCTAATGTAATCCATTTCACTTGGAAAGAGTTAGCCCCAGATCCTGCATCAAAACTGTGCATTTTTGTCTTCAACAAAAACAGAAATTGCTGGAGAAACTTGGAGGGGGGGGGGGGGGGGGGGAGAAATACAGAGTTAAACGTTTCAGGTCCAGTGAGCCTCCTTCAGCAACGATAGGAGCGGGGGAGGAGTAGTATATATGCTGATAACTTGGAGGTAAGGGAGACGATGCATTTTTCTTTCTCCTTTTCAGGTGTTTATTCAATTCTCTTCCGAAAGTTGCCACTAAATGTACTTCCCTCAGGGAGCAGGCCATTTCCAGTTCAGACCAAGATGGCGAACGCAAGTTGTGAGCCACAAAGTTGATTGACGGATAGAGTAAGAGGACTCAAACACTATCCCGAAGCGAATAGAGCTCCTACACCGCCGCCGGTTTGGCGATTAAAAAGATCGGCCGGGCCGCGCGCGCTTGCGCGGCGCTGACGACAATGCCGCGCGCGGCCACGGGTCCTCCGAATTCGCGGGCGCGCGCGCGGGGCGTCGGGTTCGAGCGGTGGCGCCCGTTTGCGTTCGCACTGAGGAGACGACGTCAGTCCCGGTCCACGCGGCTCGCGCGCCCGCCCGCCCCGCTTCGCACCCCCCACCCCCCACTCCTCACCGCGCGCTCAGAGTCCGAGGCGGAAAAAAAATCTGACCGACCGATCGAGCTGAGCAACAGGAGCGGCGGCTGCTCTTTTTCTTCTTCTTACCCCCCTTCCGGCAGACAGCAGCAGCAGCTACTTCCAGCTTCATGACCGTTTGGCCCGGTAGTTGTCGTTGTCGGAGCTCGGTGTTGAGACGCTGCGTGGGAGCCCGCGGGCCCGCTGTAACCGTGTGTGTAGGATGTCCCGACATGAAGGTGAGTGAGCGAGAGACTGAGGCGAGAGGCCCAGAGAGCAGGCCGCTGCCCTCGGCCTGTGTCTGATCAGGGAACCGCCAACCACTAGGCCCCGGGTGGGGGAAGAGGAGGAAGACGACGACGACGAGGAGGAGGAGGAAAGGCCGCTCCCCGGTCCGCGTCTTGGCTTTGATTTTTGTTTTGGCCGTCGCCGAGCCCGGGTCTCGCTCAACGCCCGCTACCCCCCCTCCCTTGGGCCTTGTTCCTCCCTTTCCCGGCTCCGAATGATTGCACTGTCATCAAGGTGGCCGGCGGGTCGCTGCGGCCTGGGACAGGCTGCAGGCCTATTCTAGGAAGCCAAAACTGTCTCCTGTCTCAGACACGGACCGAACTGACAGCTTCACACCTGGGAAGAAAACAGGCCGGGAGGACGCTGCGCCGTTTCCGGCGCCCTGGGGCTCTCGTGTTTTAGGCCTTGGGGCACCGGGGTCGGGTAGTGTTGCATCCCCAGTGGAGAGCCTAAATGCCGGTCGTGATTATACTTAAAGTATGTCAAAGTACATTCCCACCCCCCCCGGCCCTTCCTCATCGTTGATGTGTGTGGGTCATCAGTGACCAACTTAATGACATGGCGAAAGTTGATTAAACTTTCTGTCAAAACAGTCCTTCAGTGCTGCAGCAGCCGAATTAGATGTAGATTTATCCCCAGTTGCGTAGAATAAACAGGACATATCAATTATGTTTAAATAACTGATATGAATATGTCTTAAAGTTTATTTCCACACGTTTCACCAACCTGTGCACATAAGGGAAGTAGACTTGACCAACTTCTATAACTTGTGTAGGATTTTGCACATTTGGGGAAGCAAAATAGTTACAAACTTTACAATATGTGTGATTTTAAGATCCAACAGTGTCAGCATTTGGAGTTGTTCAAATTTTGAACTATTGTGCATTTCACAGGCCTGTTGCAAAACAAGGCAGCTTAATATTTTGCTTTAAGAGAAGAGGTTGCAGTAATAAAGTAAATACCATTTTGGAAATATTCTGCAGTCATGATTTCAGCAGTAGTTAGGACTAAGTACTTTTGGCAGCATTGATTAAATCACAATCCTTATTTTACTATTGCTCTAATAAAATAGAGCAGTTGTTCATAATATAAATTTTGCCAGGAAAGGTTGAATTGCCAGTGGACATGGATGCTGAATTGCAAAAAATATTATATACACAGATATTTGTTATCATTTTTGAAGTCATAATGCTATCAGATCACAAAACAATATGTAATTATTTAAATTAACAGGAGAGAATTAATTCTGTGTCATGCAGTGAACCCTCAACAAGAGCTCACATACCCATATACATATTAGGGAAAGAACTAGTCAGGAGTAGCAAAAAAAATACATATCTAGGATAAGTTGTTAAGACTGCATTTTTGCATATGATCAAGTGCTTTGATGTTTTTAAAAAAAAATCAGGTATTTACCTTGGCTTTATAAGTGTTTCCATTTTTGTTTTTGGCTTTCCCCAATATTATTACAAAGCAGAAACAAGGCATTTAGCCCAAACAGTTTGTTGACATTTACCATTCACGTGGACAAATAATTCTAATCAATTTTATCTATTGTGTTCCCATTTCCCTTTTGTTGCTTTGCCTTCATCTATTTCTACAGTGCAATCTTGAACATTTGAAGCTTCTGCCTTGAGCACTAATTGTGGAATTGAATTCCAGGCCCACACAGTTCTAAGTGAAGAAGTTTCTCCTGCTGCCTTGTAAATCTCTTGCACTTAATATTGAAACTGTGACCCCTAGTTCGCAACTGCTCAATGCCTGCAGATGCTGTTTGTATCTATCCTGTCCAATTGTTCATAATTTTCTGTGGTGGAGGCGAGTACAATGATAACATTTAAAAGGCATCTCTATGGGTATTTGAATAGGAAGGGTTTAGACGGATATGGGCCAAATGCTGGCACATGACGGTAGGCCAGATTGGGATGTCTGGTCAGCATGGATGAGTTGGACGGAAGGGTCTGTTTTCATGCTACGTGACTGTGGCTTTATTTCCCAGTTGTCTTTTTATGCTGAACAATAAAGATGAAACTTTTCTAATTTTTCTTAGTATTTGTATTCCCTTGTGCTAGACTAAAGATTTGTAAATGTGGCTACTCAGTTTCCTTAAAGGAATAGCCATGGTTGTGCTTGATTGATCTTTGTTCTTTCCAGCCACACTTTTTTTGTAAAATAATCTTAAGACCCTGAAATTCAAATAATTTGTCCCCTTTTTAAAGAAGCAATTGTCTTGACCAAGTACATTTTTTCAATATTCATACAGAATTTTAATTTTGTGAATAGATACATGTTTTTTGAGGGTTTATTACATGAAACCTGAGCTTGAAAATTGTTTTAACTTTGAACTGTTAGCTACCATATATTGTTTTGTAATCTAACAATAACTTAACTGCATTTATAGAAAATATCTCCATGTACATACAAACTGTAGTACATTTCTGAACATTTAAGTTTCTTTTAGCTACCTTTGTAGACTGTAGATGATGCTGGTTGATATGTACAGAATGCTGTTAATTTTGTTGCAGTTTATATCTGCTGCAAATAGTTGTTTCAAAAATGCACAGATTTTCTGTAATGACTTATTACAATGTGACAACTAATTGACGTTAATAGTCTTTTCTACATAGTTTGGATTTTGCTGTGTTAAAGCCACTATTCTATGACTTGCATTTTAATTTTGTTAGAATTCTAGTTTAAATTAATTATTGTTGAAGGGAGGGATTGGAATGGCGAAAATGTTGATTCCGTTTATGTGCAATAGTTCCAATTGTATTCAGTCTATATGCAGAGCTTAATAAGCCTATTTTATAGCTTAATGTTCTTGGGAGTGCAGAATTATGGAAAGGCTCTTGAGGATGGGCTCAATTATTAAGAAAGCAATGAGCTCAGTCATGATCTATTTAGGAAATGGAGAATTAAAAGTTAAGTTGGCTCATTTTGTAGAATGCTTTTTTCTTTGACCAGTTATCCTCAGTTCTCCTTTTCCATCCACAAGTAAGTTAATTATTGATATTTGAGCTATGAACTGCTTGAAAAATTAGTTGTTTTGACGAAATTGGGCAGATTTCCTTTTCCATTTAAAAGATGGAGACATTCACAGACTGACAATCCAGTGCAAAATGTAGCCATTATATGATTTCTACTCTGGATGGAGTAAATTGATTCCTTTGATTGTTCATAGCTGTGTTGGAATAAAAGAATTTATGCAGTTGTTGGTTTACAAATGAAAGTAAGAATGGTGTTTCTCATTTTTTTTTCTTGGAATATCTGATGGCAAGATGATATGATCAATATAAGTGCCCCAGCTCTGTTATGGGGCCCATTTTTCCATACTAAGTCTGCTAATAGAGATGTTTTATGTCTGTGGAACATATTAAACCAGTTACAAGATATGTAGTCAGTATTAGACATGCAGTTACCTTTAAGGCTCAAACAGAGTTCTTTGATAGGTGGTGATGTTCACTGGACCTTTGTACTTTGAGCTAGCTTAAGGGCCCTCTTGTGGCACAATGGTAACATCCCTGCCCCTGAACTGTGAGGTCTGGTTTCAAGCCCCACCTCTTCCAGAGGTGTATAATAACATCTCTGAACAGGTTGTTCGAAAAATAGGTTAAATTTAAAAAATTAAGAGCTAATTCTGAGAATCTGTTGTTGCAGTGGTAGTGTATCAACTTCTGAGCCAGGAAGCCCAGGTTCAAGTCACACCTTTCAATGGTGTGTAATATCATCACTGAGTAGGTTGATTAGAAAATATATAAAAGGAAGTTTAAGTTCTTCCATAATGTGCATGGCTTCTGGACAGGGAAATTGTCCAGGAGGGAAAGATGGAAAGTGATGCTTGCATGATACAGTGGATTCAGACTAAAATCTTTGTAAATAGCTGAAATTGTTTTACTGCGTAGTTCAACATAGAGATATCAATGTCTGAAATATACATCACCTGTCTAAAACTGCTAGTGATTTGTTTTTATGTAATCATTAGATGAGCACATTTTGCAGCATATCAACTAGTTTAACATCTGCAAATGTACCATTGTTTTCTGTTTGGTTAATTGATAATGTTTAACAAATAAGAGGCCAATGGACCCTAGGAAATGTGCTTGCAGTAGGATCCCAGGGACATTAATATTTGCAATATTCTCAGCAGTGTGGTAACTTTTTTTTGAGTGAGATGGATGGGATTGTGCATGTTGGAGATGCTCGAAAGTTCCGATCAGTTTTAATATTTGTCTTGTATTTGCAAACATTGAGCTTTTTCACATTTGGGGACAACATTCAAATCTGATTCTGAATGACATCCATCATCATCAACTCTTGATCCCTTAACTGCATTTTATTTGACTTGCTACCTGTCTGACATAGCAGAAACCATCTCCCATTAAATTTTAGGAAGTTCAAAACCATTGTCTTTGGCTGTTGCTCCAAACTCCAGTCCCCAGCTACCTATACCATCTTTCTCCCTGGCTGTTGTTTGAGGCTGAACCAAACTGTTTGCAACCGTGACACCCTAATTGACCCTCAACTGAGCTTCTCTTATTTTGTCTATCATCAAGACA